ATTATTGAAAGTGAATAGCTTTTTTTAACCAAGTCCTTCACTTCATTTGCAGACGTTTACAGCTTGGTGCAATTCTCATCTGCGGAAAGCTGGAACCCAGATTGAGAACATTGAAGATGATTTCAGAAATGGATTGAAACTGATGCTACTCTTGGAAGTCATTTCAGGTTTGTTTAAAGATGACACCTTGTCAAGATGTATTTCCAGCTCCGGAACCTGCCTCATGATTTTTCAATGTTGTGACAGTTCTGACTCTAAAAGTTGTTGCTGATCGAGATGCAACATTTATTATTAATTGCAGCCCTATTAATAGTATCCAAAAAACTAATATGTAAGATAGAAAAGAGAAAAAGGAAAGAAAAGGAAAGCAAATGCCACAATTGCAGAAGAAAAATATTCATATAATCACAACGCTTGTGCAGCAATCAGTTAATTGTTCCAATGGACCATTCTCAATTTTGCTTTCTCTTTGTAGTATCCAGGACTGCACTCTGTATTTTTAAATACAATTTTAATACATGTTGAAATCATTTTAATTAATATTTATTGAAAAACCTCGGTTATTAGTTTATAACATTATAATGAAACTAAATACTAGTATAATTATATAATATAACTATACTATTGTTCTATAAAAGACTTCAAAAAATAACCTTATCTGTTGTATTAAAAAAAGTATATAATGAAAAGAAAAAGAAAAGGCTGTATACTTGAAGTTCTAAGGAGAAGAAGAAAGAACCAAAATGATAAAAAAGAAAATTAAAAAAAACACCAGCATCTTAAGAACCCAGACAATTAAAGAACTAAACCAAATTAAAAACTTAGAAGTACCCCTTATCTAAACTGTATCTAATTCTAAATATTTATATTAAACTATAGTCACATAAACATATTTCACTTTAAACATTATGACATTGAAGCATAATCACTTTCTCTTTCACTTCTCTTTTGGAGTTGCATAAATTTGAATGCAAATGCATCAAAGCAAATTTTATTAAGACAGCTTTTGGAGCCTGGGAGCAAGCATATGTCCAATCTTTTTACAACAGTTCAAACTCAACATATACAAATTTCTTCATAGATGGAAATATAACAGTTTTTGGAGAGACAGTTTAACACAACATTAGCGTTTTCAACCCATAATTGGCTTTCAAGAACCTCATTAACATGATAATGTTATGTAACCAATAGGAATTACAAGTGGACATGTCATGGCATATAAGATAAAATTTCTTCAAATTTATTATATTTCTAGCATAAAGAAATAGAGGCCAACTGTTTTTTAAATAATATCTTTATTCTATGGAATAATCTGAAGTAAGACCTTGGAATAGAATAGTGCGGTAAATGCCATTTTCAAATCCTTTATTGCTGTGTTTAGAGCAGAGTTCTAGGTACCCTATGGTCCTTTAGATCAGTGGTTCTCAACCTTTTTAATGCCGTGACCCCAACCGGTCGTAAGTCAAGGACTAAACCGGTCGTAAGTCGAGGACTAAACCGGTCGTAAGTTGAGGACTAAACCGGTCGTAAGTCGAGGACTACCCAACCGGTCGTAAGTCAAGGACTTTCCCTGCCCGGGAGCGCCGCGCATGCGTGCTTCCGCCCCCTGCGCCGGCCGATGCGTAGCTGGCAAGCGGCAGAGACGGAGCAGGCCAACCACCAGCTGGCCCAGCCCAAGGGAGGTAAGGCACCCGCCGGAAAAGGGGAGAAAAAATGGCGGACAAAAAGAATGGCGGACAAAAAAAATGGCGGACAGCCTTGCTTGGCGACCCCCATGAAATGGTCGATCGACCCCAAATGGGGTCCCGACCCACAGGTTGAGAACCACTGCTTTAGATGTTGGTACAGAAACAGCCAGCATGGGCAATGATAACAGATGCTGAGAGCCATCACTGGTTCCTTTTCCTTGAATCTGGATTAAAAACTGGTACATTAATTTTTAATGCTTGAAGCATTCTAAAGGACTAAAAATTTAAACTAAAAAAATGAATCTACAAACTGTATTCTCATAACTGCAACCGTTTTTACCACATCAATAAAAGTAAACAATGAATCGATAAAAATAATGTAAAAGTAAGAGTCATTTTATTGCATTGTAAATGAGCTCAGTCATTAAAATACAGTAAATATTTAAGGAGGACTAGTTTTAATTTTTTTTATTTATGTATTTATTTATTAAATTTATATATCATCCAACTCACTCTGCAAAGCAATCTCTGGGTGGCTTACAATTAAAACCATAAATATAAAAATATTAAAAACATTAAGTACAGAGAAAAGAAGCAAAAGGCAAGTTTGGTGTGGTAGTTAGCATCTTCTCTGTTAATCCACCAGCCACCTTTAGTTTTAGGTAGCAAAGAGCATGCTTCTCTCACTAGAATAGTGCAGCCAGATTCCAATACTCACAAATGTTTTTGATTTTCTTTCCTGCAGGAGAAAGACTTCAGAAGCCAGATAGAGGAAAGATGCGCTTCCATAAAATTGCAAATGTCAACAAAGCTCTGGATTTCATAGCAAGCAAAGGTGTCAAACTTGTCTCAATTGGTGCAGAAGGTATGTGGAGAGTATCCATAACAAGAATTGTCATTTAGTCAGGAACCTACATTTTTAGTGCTGTTCGGGGTCACTGTATATACAATATACCTTCAAATACAACTACGTACTACATTTCAAAACACGTGTTTTTTCTATTGCACACTTCTTGTTTGAAAGTGGTGTAGCAGAGTGCTTGTTTTGAATAGACAAGGCCCTAGCATCTTCAGGTACTATTGAAAATACTCTTGCCACTCTTAAAATAGAATCAGATTTAAAAGTAGAACTATGAATCTGCCAGCAAAGTATCATGAAATAAGTATACACGAGGAACATAATGAATCCTAAATGACAGCTATCACATGTTATAATATTATTGATGACCCCGCTGTATATTATCCATTCCATTTATCTCTAGAAATTGTGGATGGCAATGTGAAAATGACCCTGGGTATGATATGGACAATCATCCTCCGTTTTGCTATTCAAGATATCTCAGTGGAAGGTAAGAATATTTATCTATATACTGGTAATGTTGCCTTCAATTTTTTGTGCCAAATAGAATTTATTCCAGGAATACAGATTGATTGAACTGGCTATATAGCTTTATTGACAACTGTGGATTCTGATGTAAATATTAGTCTAGCAATTAGACAACCTATAAAGAAGCATTTAGGACTAAAGGCTGTCTGAATTTGCTGATCTGCTTTCTTCTTTATTATTATTTCTAGTAGGGCAAACAGATCCCACAAGGAAACAGAAATGTGAATTATATTCTCTTCTTCAAAAATGCATTAAGATGTGTGATACTTTTACATCCAACAATCTGCCTCTCCTACAAGTGGACTGATCAATTGGAAACATTGAGTTCCTTGTGAATCATAGGGCTAAATTAGATGATAGGTTATATAAACAGTATGTCACCCTGATTAGCTTTTTATTTTGCACATTTACTTGTAAGCAGCTTTAACAAGTGCTACCAATTGGTTGTCCTTATCTGGCTTGGAAATTAAATAGGGCCAAGCCCGATTAGCACATGGTTGGAAGCTATCAGAGAATACCAACTTGTAGGCAGCATTGGGAAATTGAAAAAATACCTCAGAAGAAGGTAACAGCAAACCAATTCCATACTGTTGATAGGAAAACAGCATGGATGGATCCACCAAGTAATCAGGAGTCAAACTTAGTTCAAAGGAGACTTTAGCTTTACTGTAGCTATTTGCAATCTCAAATTATTTCCCCCTTATGGGAACAAATTATTATTATTAAAAACAACTTCATATGGCCAAATGTAAAATTTAAAGAAAGCTTTGTACATAAACAGAGAGAAATAAACCTACATAAACACACACAGAGAGGTAATTGTGAAGGTTGGTAGGAAGATTAGACACCTGCTTTCAGGTACAGCATTCTTGACAGAGATCTTGTTTGATAACTATTATTTTCTTATCATCAAGTAAATATAGTAGTAACATACAGTTTTGTATTCTCTAGTCCTAATTCATTTGGGAGGGAAGGTGTAGATCTATGGTCATTATCTCCTTGAAGAAAGAAAACAGGGGTATCATTATGTATGATAATGATTGAATTAATTTGCTGGAATCTTTTTGACATCTTTTCATGAACTGGGATCTTTTTGCACTGTAGAAGAATTCCACTTAGACTTTGATTTAATATATTCCATGTCATTCGCTTGTTATTCTGTCCCACCCAACCATAATTTGATAGTAAAGTTGAAGGGTGTTTTTTTTTTTTTTAGTAAAATAAGGCAGTGAGCTAATGTCTATACAGGGATGTCAAACTGCCAGCCCATGGGCCGGTTTCATCATACTGAAACCGCGCCCACCCCATTGCCGGCAATGCAAAAAGAGTCACGATACGTTGCGACACATCATGTGACATGGTGAGTTTGACACCGTGGTCTATAATGTCCTCAGATTGTTGTGGTGACTTGGCTCTGGAAACTCTCTTGTATGAGCTTCCTACTCAACATGATCATCTGAATCCAGCTTCCAAGTGAAGCAGTCAGAACAAACTATATAACAGAAGAACAACCACAAAGAAAATACAACATAGACTATTTATATATATATATAAGAATGCACAAATATCTGTCTTTCAAACACAAAAGAATTTCATGTCAGGCTTTTCCAAATGAACGATAATAGTGATTCAAGAATGCAGCTCTCTCCTAAATTATTCTTATTACAAGATCTGGAAATACAGTTAAATAAGAAATTCAGAACAAGTATAGAATGAAAGTCCTATTTATAGGAGTGGCCAGGTTCAAATCATGTCCCTCTTTCTCCTGCCTGCACAATATAGTGGTTGACAGCCTCTTGTTTTCTCCTCTGGTTGGGAGGAAAAATTGACACTCTTATTACTGTAATGGGCCTGTAGGGCCTCAGGTCCTTTGCTTCTGCCTTCCCACTTTGGTATATAGCTCAGCAGATGGATAGTTTGGCGATGCTTGGAATGGACTTTCCATTTTCTATGAGATGATTATCCATCCAGTAAAGATAATGGGACATTTTATGATCTTGTACTGAGAGAAATACTAGAATTTGGTGCACTGGAGTTATGATACAAGGAGTGTAATGGTTTCTGTTCTGGGGAAAATATATTTTATCCAATTGAATGATAACGTGGGAAATTGGAGAATTATTTGGGAGTGTCATATGTAGATACTGCAGTGTTTTATGCACTTTTGTAAAGATTTTTTAATATCATAAAACATTGAAGTGAATAATTTGGGCAGCTATAGATTCTTCGCCAAACTGTGAACATGCACATTTTACTCAAGCAAACAGCTACCATCCATTACAGTATACAATATGTAGCAGATCAACCGATTTTTATACTTCGTTGGTTAATTTAGAGAATAATTATTCCTGACAAATTTACTTTACCTGATTCTATTGTACCAATTAAATCTTTTTAAAAAAGAAATTTCTTATGAATGATGACATCATTCCTGAGTCAGTGAAGCAGGATATAAATATTAAAGAAAAATAACTGATGAACGGACGGCTACATGATGGAAAAAAATCATATGGAAAGTCTACAATCAATTCTAGAGTTTCTTGTTCGTATAAATGCCCCTTGTTTTGTAACACTTTTGTAACAAAGTGTTAATTTTGAATCATTGCATTTTATAAGAAACCATACAGAAGAAAGAGAGAGAGTTATTTTCCTAACTAAACTGGATAGTGTATTCACTATTTTTCTGGTACAGATTTCCTTGGAAACACTTTGTGTATCTGTTGAATTAAACAACATCATCTGAGATAGATGCCCAACCCTCTAAGTCAGCTGAAGATCTGCTATTTACTGTAGCGAGCAGTTTGAAGTTCTGTTATTCTTTATAAATCTTCTTTGATGGTATTTTCAGAGACATCTGCCAAAGAAGGACTGCTGTTGTGGTGTCAAAGAAAAACGGCACCTTACCGAAATGTGAACATTCAAAATTTCCATCTTAGGTAAAGTAAATCATTTATAGATGTAAAGACTTCACTGTTCATCATGTAGATGGTTTTTATCTTTGCTGGTACAGTTGGAAATGGAGAGCACACAATACATCATATTTTCTTTGCAGTTTGAGAAGGACCAGGAATAACTCTACAAGGCTAGTATGAGTATCGGGGCTCCCAGATTATTCTAGCCATTAAAATGGACACCTTATATGAAAGAAGTCAGCAGTGTGATTATTTCACATGTTACCATGGTTGTTCTTTGACTGGTGAGGCCTAATTAGAGGAAATTACTACAACTAATGTGTGGGGGAATAAACAGAAGTCCCGATTGTAGTGTACTCACAACAAAACATAAAAATCAAACATTGTCATTTTCTGTCTTATCTCCATCTGCACAAAATAAATCTGTTGTGTATTTTCTAGAAATCAATTTATATTGCAAGTATGTTGAAATTTCCACAAATAGTGGAAGAAAGATACCCTTCACAGAATCTATAGAGTGAAAATTGGGCATTGTGGCATGATTAATAAATGCTATTTTTTTCTCCAGTAGTTGCTGCTGAGATTCAAAAAAAGAAAGATACTTGTTTTTGTTTTGGATCTAATCAGGTCATAAATAAATATGCAAGCTTTCAAGTTTCATAAAACTCTTACTCCAAAGAATAAAAACCTTAGGTGTACAGTGTGTAGAAAAATCCAAGACACAAATAATTTGAACATCAGATGTATTTAATGTTGTGGCTTTTGTTTTAATCTCTGTACAATGCCCAGAGTTACCATTGTGAGATGGGAGGCCATAGAAATTATGTACATACTTATATACATATAAGAATAGAAGTAAACATCTCTATTGTTGAAAATGGTCTCTTACCTACAGATAGTTAGGGTCTCTTGCCTGCAGGTAGTTAAGAACAGATTTTACCAAATATGCCGTTTTTATAGATAATAATTGTAATTATTGGATTGTTGGGCTTGGCTTCAAATGCCATTTTTATATGAAAAATGCATTAAAAGTGGAAAAATAAATAGACCCGGCTTCCCAAACCTGGCATCTTCAGAAGATCTGGGGCTAGGAGTGTTGGCTGAGACATTCTGTTAGGGAATGCAAGATAGACTATCTACTATAATATATCAAATAATTGACTCAGAAGAATTATACTTTCTCCTACATGAAACTTCCTACTCCTTATAAGGTATTAGAGAGAAGAACTCTCCTGTTTAATACATGTGTTACTATCTGGGTATGGTGTGCTATTTCCATGTTTGTGGTTCTAGACACAATCCGTTGGAGCGCTCAGAAATATATTACAAACATTTTCACTCCACCAGACTGTTTCAGAATGTGTGAGTGGTCTGGTCTTTTATTAGCTACTGGTTTAAAATTTTACTACTGATTTTCTAAATGATATACGAGCAATATTTTCTGAGCAACCCTAAATATGCCTTAGATACCTAAAAGTAAATAAAAAGATGGACAAACTACTGAGTGAAATCACCAGCCCACCTGCTCCAGCCAACTGTAATTTCTTGCACCAGGAAAAAATAAGTAAACAATCATTCACCATCTAGTGCACCGTGCATGAAATTTCTCTTGGGCTCTTTTCTGTACAAAAGTGACTACTGTCTAGGAAATTTGTCTTACAAGATAATGTCCTAAAACATCTTTGCCTTAGCAACATTTAAAATATGTTTGACTATGTCTTGAAACTAGATAACCTGGTTCACAAAATTATACTATGAATTTTTCCTGTGTTCTGCACCATTATATGAGATTTAGCCAAATTGGAACAACCACTGGAATTTTATGAGCTACTGCTATTGGACATGTGGTACAATTGCTGAATATTGTCAGACCTTGCACTGTCTGACAATACCAGTGTCATTAATATGTTGTCGCCTTATTTTTGGTTTCTTCTCATGAAGCTGGAAAGATGGCCTTGGTCTCTGTGCACTGATTCATAGACATCGACCAGATCTTATTGACTACTCCAAGCTTTCAAAGGTCATTAAGTTTGCTGGCATGGCATGATAACTTGCACCAATATGGCATGATGATTTGCACTGATTTGGCTCACATACTACATATGTATGTTTTGTAATTTGAAATGGGCCTTCTTTTTTGGCTCTTGACCTGCAGATATAGAACAGCCTTCCTGAACCAGGTGCCCTCCGTTAATTTTGAATTTCTCTCACTGATAATGGCCAATCAGTATGGTTAAGACAGCAAAGGGTGATCCCAAGTAAGTAAACCACATGCTATGAAAGTGGCTGAAAAGAATCCAGAAAAATAAGTTACTATTTGGACGAATCTACTCCTAGATGTCCTTGGCCTTGGGATACTCAATATAGGTCTGTCTCCTACACACAGCCAACTGGTCAGTCTATGAGCATTATAATCCTGAGTAAAGATGCATCATGTTAGAAAGTATTCAGTAGATGGTGCAACTCTGTGAAATATTTAACTGACATGAAGAGAAATAAAGTGCACAATATTTATATCCCACCAATTTCAGTAAAAATTAGTCATGTCTAAAAGCTCTCTGGATTATGCCAAAATAATCTGAGTATATTGACATTGTTTTGCTGTAGATTTGATGGGGGAATGTGTGCGCACTTGTGTGCATGTTAGTTTTTCTTTCTGCATGCCTTTCTTTGCTTTCTAGAAACCTTTGGAGAGCCATAGAGAATCTTCCTTTGCATTGATACATTGTTCATACAATGGGCAAAGCTGAAAAGCTCGATTTATGGGTGCCACACATTGTTTGGTTCATATACAGCATAAGTTAAATGGCCGGCATAACTAATAACTAAGCTTTTAGTTTACCAAGATGGTAAACACAGCAAAGTTACATCCATACGTTTGTGTGTCTGTCTGAAGTTTACAGGGGAAATCCTGAAGGGCAGGGAAGGTGAAAGCACGAGCCCTCAAGAGAAGGCAGCACCAACAACTACTTCCAAGATTTATCTTACCAGAACAGTTTTTCAATAGCTCTCTAGTAATGTCAGTATCATGCATTTGAGTAAATTTCACTGAAATATTTTTTTTTAAAGTAAAGTTACGGTATAAGGACAGCTGCTTAATTTCCATATTATGTAAACATACTTGGCAGTAAGAGTGTCAGCAGGGCATGGTTAAAAAAAATGTCAAGATGGAAGACACAGTGCAATGAAATTCTGCCGGGTTTTTACATGCTTCCTGGGAGAGAATTTAATCTTATTTTAAAATGCTGCTATTGAGTGAAACCCTAACATATTCTGTCCTTGCTTTTGAATTGCTGCAACCTTGCTTAAAATAGGGCACTTACCAATTGTAATTTCTGCTTCCTGTGTAGGATGACCCTCTGGGAAATATAAACCTGGCCATGGAAATTGCTGAAAAACACCTGGATATCCCAAAGATGTTGGATGCAGAAGGTATAAGTTAATGTGCTTTTAATAGGCAGCAGGTTGCAACTGTTAAAGTCTTTTCTTCCCATATATTATAAGAAAAGGATCTCCTTCACATAGCTATTTATCAAACAGCATTTAACCTGTTGGTTTCTGTTTAGACTGTAATAAGAAAATGCTCTCTGATGTAATTGAAATTAATAGTAGTGGGGAGGGCAATTTTGAGTCTCCCCCCCTCTTTTCATTTAGCTATTCCTCAAAAACTCCATGCTTTCCAAGTAATTCAGAAACATAAATCCAGAACTTTCAAGTAAAATATCATCTGAAGACCTGTATCAGTTAGAATTATTTTTTTAAATCCAGCTAAAATAATTGTCTTCTGAAATTCCTGGTACCTAAAACAATGCAGCAAGTCATGGACAAGAAGACCAGACTATGCAATTGAACCTGATCCCTTTTTTATGTTTGTTGTTTGTACGAGACACTTTAAAAGGATCAGGGCTTCATTTCTGGGGTTGCAGCTGCCATCTTGACTTTTTTTTCAGTCCAGGCAGCAGAGACATAACAACATATCCTTAAACATCTTTGAAGAATATTAGCATTAGTCCTGAATATTGTCAATTGAGAGCAATATCTATCAGCACAGTTTAGCCATGCTTTCCCTGAAAATCTTCCCTGAAGATAATTCAGATCTATGAAATGATTTGTCATCCCATCTTTTTATTATTGCAGTCAAGAGCAAAAAAGACTTGATTTTTGGTGTTTCTGTAGTGTTGAGATACTAGTCCCCATCTAATGTTGCTGGAGAACTATTGCTGGAATTGGGTATGTCTAGTTTAATGAAGAGAAGTACTAGGGGTAACATGATAGCAGTGTTCCAATATCTCAGGGACTGTCACAAGGAAGAGGGAGTCAAGCTATTCTCAAAAGCACCTGAAGCAGGACAAGAAGTGATGGATGGAAACTAATGAAAGAGAGAAGCAATCTAGAACTAAGGAGAAATTTCCTGACAGTTAGAATAGTTAGTCAGTGGAACAACCTACCTCCAGAAGTTGTAAATGCTCCAACACTGGAAGTTTTTAAGAAGAGACTGGACAGCCATTTGTCTGAAATGGTATAGGGTTTCCTGCCTGAGCAGGGGTTGGACTAGAATAGCTCAAATTTCCCTTCCAACTCTATTATTGTTATTGTTATTGTTGCTATTCAGATTTACTTGCCTCATTTGGTATTCTACACCATAGTACAATACTACAATTGTTTCATGATTTACAACAGATAAGCAATTTTTGGTGTTCACTGGCACTTTTGAAATTTTGAAAGTATGGCTGGTACTTGCCTATTTAAGAACAGCTGCCATGGTGGAAGTGTCAATTTACTAGAAAAATAAAGGTATAAAAGAACCCACACTACTCTCCTGATGTTATTTATTGATTTTATCTTGGTCTTTCTACAGGGCTAAGTGGGTTCATTTTCAAATAAAGATCTGCCCTGCAGCTACTCATCTTGTTTGTTTTCGAAGGATGTGAGGTTTATGCAAGCCCAAGGCATTCTTATAAATACAGTACATTTTTAACATGCCACCTTCTCAATGATTTTCCCCCCAGTTTTAAAAAATGGAAGGGAAGTTTGGCAGGGCCAAGGGATATCTACTGGCTTCTTGCTTGCTACTTGTCTTTCTTTTGGAATGACTTAACAGTGTAATGTAGGATCATTAAGTCTCTTTTCTCCTGTTGTCATTGGACATATCCCAAGAAGAAGATTGTTTTATTTCAGGTTGAAATTAACTGTTAAAGTAATATGGATCTACAGTCCATGAAGGGAATAAAAGTCTTGATGGAAAATGATTTGAGATCTATAAACTTTATCTTCAATGAAAATACATGCTTTCATGGAATTCATCTTAACTGGAAGTGAATTGGGCAGCCTAATGTCAGAATTATGGGGGTATATGAGATGGAATCAAGGTTACCAGCCATGCTTTTTTAAATAATTGAGTAGTCAACCCTCTTGAAAAAGTTTCATGGCTTATCATTCTTGTTTTTCTTGGTGCTAAGAAAGTAGAGTGCTTTTGCTCTGTAGCTGCTGTCATACTGTATGGCTTTTTTGCTTATCCTGTGATTCCTTTCTGTTTTCTCTTTTTCTTTTTCTTTTTAGAAGATATAGTTTGCTCCCATATAAAATGCACAGGTAGTTTTCAGAAAGTCTTTGTTTAAAAAATAACTACAGTTGCTTCTTTCACACTTCCACACAATATCTGAAGGTCTGATCCATTCTTTGCATATTGGACAATATTAGATCTCTACAATGTGGAAGTAAAATAATAATAGCACTAAAATCTGTACTTGTATTTTGGAAAGATGATTCCTTTTAAAGAGTCAGAACAACAATGCAGATATTATTAATGACATACTACGTGGAATTGCAATACTATCTTTTTTTTTTCTAGAGAGGGCCTTTAACAGGTGGAAACTTCTAAGCATCCATCAGTAGTTTCCCTGTGCGTTCAGAAACACAATATATTGTTATCTCAGATTATAAAGTTTGGTCAGGCGAATCTCAGAACTTCAAACAATCTCTCTGTGTAATTATAGACATGGGCTATTCTCAGTGGGATGACAAAAGTCAAGTTGACAGACATGTCTGCAGGACTGAAGCCACGCCTGTAAAATGGGGGCAGAATATTGAATGTGAAGGTGCACCCAACTTCTTAACTATTTTGATTGTGTACACACTCCTGAATATACGCCAATGTCTTTGAAATCAAAGCATATAGTATGCCAGCACCTTATTTGTCTGCAAGCATTCCTCTCAAAAACCATGGATATTTTCAAATTTTGTTCTCCAGAATTTCCATTTTAGCTTCAATGCTTTCTTCTTCCAGTCTAAATGGCTCTAACATATAGAATAGAATAGAGTAGAGCTGGAAGGGACCTTGGAAGCCTTCTAGTCCAGCCCCCTGCTCAAACAGGAGAACCTATACCAACTCAGACAAGTGACTGTCTAGCTTCTTCTTAAAAATCTCCAGTGATGGAGCCCCCACAATTTCTGGGGGCAAGCTATTCCACTGGTTAATTGTCCTCACTGTCAGGAAGTTTCTCCTTAATTCCAGGTTGCTTCTCTCTTTGATCAGTTTCCAACCATTGTTTCTTGTCCTGCCCTCTGATGCTTTGGTGAATAACGGGACCCCCTCTTCTTTATGGCAGCCCCTCAAATACTGGAATACTATCATGTCTCCCCTATTTCTTCTTTTCTTTAAACTAGCCAAACTCAAGTCCTGTAGCTGTTCTTTGTATGTTTTAGTCTCCAGGCCTTTGATCATCTTAGTTGCTCTTCTCTGAATTTTTTCTAAACTCTCAACATCTTTTTTGTGATATGGTGACCAAAATTGGCTGCAGTATTCCAGGTGTGGTCTTACTAGGGTTTTATAAAGTGGTACTAATACCTTGCGTGATCTTGATTCTATGCCTCTGTTTATACAACCCAGGATTGTATTAGCTTTTTTTGCTGCTGCTGCACACTGCTGGCTCATGGTTAAGTGATCGTCCCTCTCACAGTTACTGTTTTTAAGTCAGCTCTTGCCCAATCTGTACTTGTACCTTTGATTTTTCCTGCCTAAATGTAAGACTTTGCTTTTCTCCACATTGAAACTCATTTTATTGGATAGGGCCCTTTGTTCAAGTTTGTCAAGATCTTTTTGGATCCTGAGTTTGTCTTCTGGGTTGTTGGCTACTCCTGCTGGTTTGATGTCATCTGCATATTTGATGAGTATCCCTTCAATTCCCTCATCTAAGTCATTGATGAAGATATTGAAGAGTACTGGGCTAAGATGGAACTTTGTGGCACCCCACTGCTTACTTCTCTCCATGTGGATGTAGTGCTGTTGAGGACTACTCGTTGAATACTGTTTGCCAGCCAGCTACAGATCCATCTGGTGATGATGTTGTCTATTCCACCTTTTTCTAGTTTACCAAGGAGTAGGTTGTGGTCTACTTTATCAAATGCCTTACTGAGGTCTAAGTATATTATGTCCACAGTATTTTGCTGGTCTATTAGTTTAGTCACTTTGCCGAAAAATGAAATAAGATTGTTTTGGCATGATCTGTATTTAACAATATGTTAAAGAGAACAAAATGTAGCACTTGTTGTGTCTCCCTTGCTTTCTACTGTTCTTCTACATATTGTGCTCATTTTCTTTCTTTTTGTCTTTTCTGATAGACATTGTGAATACCCCCAAGCCTGATGAAAGAGCAATCATGACTTACGTTTCTTGCTTCTACCATGCTTTTGCTGGAGCTGAGCAGGTATTCATCATCATTTTTGGGACTGCTTTGTGTGTTTCAGCTTCCATAGGTTTTCATTAGCCCTGAAACCACTTTGCTTTTTTAATTGGGGCTGACAAATACAGTAATTGGTGCTATTAGAAACACTGCAGTAATAGACATGCACAAACAAGCATATATAGATGCATACAGAATAAATAAAAACAGATAGCCCTCGACTTACGACCACAACTGATCCTCAAATTTTGGTTGTAATTTTTTGTGGCAATTAAGCGAGACACCCACATGATCACCTCACTCAATGAGCACAATCCCAGTTCTCTGCATTGCGGTCATTAAGCAACCTTGCAAGGGTGCCTCAGTGGGTGGGTGGGGAGGCCTTGGGAGGCCTGGCGCTAACCAGCATGTGGAAACCTGCCACAGGTCAGCTAGGCCCAGCTATGTGTGAGCACCTTCCCAACTCCCAAGAGGCCTGCATCTCCTCCTTACCCACTGTGCCAGGATCCATTTATCTTTCCCTTCCCCTGTAGCCACTGAGAGGTGAACCAAGCTGATGCTAACCTAGAAAGCTAGTGAAAGCAAATTTCCTCAGGGCTAGAGAGGCTAGAGAACAAAAAGTCAGCCAGCAAAGTTCCTGTTCCTAGACCAGCCTTGAGAAAGATTGCCTTCAATAGCACTATAACCGCTGGGCCCACCTGGCAGCAACTGCAGGAAAAAGGACAGGTAAATGGCTCTGGCTGTGATGTGGCAGGTAGAAGATCCAGGCCTCTTGGGAATGGTGGGGATGGAAAGAGGAGGCCCACACACTGGTAGACCTAGCTGGCCAAGGCCTTTTGGCCCATGGCAGGTTTCTACATGCCAATGGCCTAGCTGGCTGAGGCCTCTCAGTCCTCCCAGTGGTGGAAGAGGGGTTGCAATGCTTCCAGAGCCATAAAGGTGATTGTACCTACATTTTTATCATTTGAGTGTGGGTGCTGCAATGATCAGAACTCCAGGCCGGGGTCATAATTCCCTTTGTTCAGCACTGTGATAATTTCAAATGGCCGCTGAATGAACGGTTATTAAGTTAAAGACTACCTGTATAATTATTGTGATAATTTTTTATCAGTTTTGCAAAGGCCATTACTGTTTTCAAAGCAAAACCTATCCCTGGGGGGGGGAATCTTTTTTTGCAGCATTAAAGCAGTTAATAGTGATAGAAGGAAAGCATTTCTCTAATATGATTAGACTGTCTAAATTATTCAGATTCAGTATAAATATTTTAAGTTTTCAGACTGTACTCTGGTGAAGTCTGAGATTTTTCTGCAGCTAATCATCACTGAGGAGCACAACAAGGACAGACAAGCTTCTTAAAAAAACCGTTTATCTTTGTTACTAAACTATTGCAAAACTAGAACTGCCATAAGAATATCAGTGTTGCTGGGATTAGACCTCCAGGAATTTCTCAGCCAAGGTGGCTATTGGTCATGTGGACTGGATATAGTAGTCTCTAGATATGTGGAGATTTAGTCTTTTTGTGAAAGACTCAGATCCAGCAGGGTCATAATCCACTAGCTGTGAGGACAGATGGTGTCCCCAGACATATCACATAATTTTTTGCTGTGTGAAGAGATTCCAGGTTATACTAGATATGGAGGATAATATTTGGCTGCAAAGTGAAACCAGGATTTTATTAAAAATTATTGCCACTTAATGAGTCATCCTCACTTTATTATTTTCCGGGTAAAACTTCAGAGGTAAGTTAATTTGTTTCTCTTTTTTACCTCCTTCCCTCAGTCCTTTATTATCAGTCCCTCCTAGATAATAGCATAGATTCCCTTAACGTCGTATTTTGTGATTGTGCACTGATAATTTGTTGTTTACATTACCTGTGGTGGAGATGAAACCCAGGTAGCTAGAGTAGATGTAATAGATAACTTTGGAATTAATCAGAGATTACACAGGGATTTACAGAACACAATCAACATTTCTGCAAGTTTCTGCTAATATTAATATTTATATATATATATATTTAAAAAACTAAATTTATGAGTAAAATAATTCTGTGGCTCTCATTTATTTATTGTGACTGAAGTTAAATAAATTATTTTTTTAAGATGCTACTGAAATATGTCTGTCTTTATTATAACAGATTAACACTGCTATTTCTTTGAAATGACTATTAGTATAGTACATTTGAGCATCATTCAACCTAGAAAAATTGCAAACCAAAGTGTATGTAATAGAATGTGACGTTCTTAATATTGCTAAAT